GAATCTCAATGAACAGATTAAAACGCTGTCTAGAAGTCTGCTGAACGAAACAACAGTTTAGGCTGCTGGTAACAATAGCGATGTTTTCATCTTGGTCGATGTGCCCTCTTCAAACGCGGAAGCCAACTTGATTCGACCTTGTTCTTTTGTCACCTTCATTGCGGGTGGCTTGGAATTTCCGGAGCAGTCATGTAGCCAAGATTTTTTTCTGCCACGTCGATCAAGTATATTCCACAGTAGTTTTGCCATATGGTTTTGTAATTCTTGTTGAAGACCGGAAGCAACAACCGCAACTCTGATCTAGGTTTTGGCATTCGTTTTATGGACATAATATAGCGTAGCATTCCTCCAGGTAGACGATTTCTGTCGGATTTTTCTAATATAGCTCTGTTGAAAGAGCGTCCTCACCGGCTACTTGATAGCGGCTTGTATCGCCGCAGTTGAAGGAGGTTCACTGAAGGAGGTGAATTGCTCACAAACTATGTCTGCCACATGTTTGTGAGAGACTTTTCGATGTGGGATGTTGAGGTCGTTTTCAAAATAATCTTTTCACCGATGACGCTGTGCCGCGACATTCGGTATTAGCTCACGCACATTTGCTGATCACATTTCCTGACCGCATTCAGTTCAGCATAATTTTGATAAAGCCTCATTGTGGCCACTACTCCTGCCGTGTGCTCCATTGCATTAGCTACTGCTTCCCAAAACGTTTCCTGGCAGATTTTGATGCTTGCCGCTAAAGAGAGCGGAAGTAAGACATATTTTCCGTGCTATCTTTAGCCGCTACATTTTAACCGTTCCCTCGATGATCCAGTCGTTTTTGCGGTTATTCCTGACCAAATATGTTGCTGGCGAAAGGATGCAAGGTTGACGACAGTTTTTCTACCATAGTATTGCAGGCTTCAGCTGTGGGATTCAGAGGCGATCTCGTTTGTCGCTTGAGCCACTTCTATATTTTTTAGTTTCGAACGGCTACTTTTCTGGAATGGTCCCTGAAAGTTCTTTCTTACTTCTAAAGTTGCTGTGGGCATTGCAAATCTGTAAGGACGTGCTTTGACTCTCGCCGACGCAACGCTTCTTATGCGTCTTTACGAACCCAGATGTAATGTGTATGAGCTATGTTATGCTTGAGGGACAATTTACACTGACTACAGTTCAATATTTATGATATTCGAGTATTTATAGTGCTAGATGCATCGAGCATCATTTTACTCTCTAGACCGGTGTTGGGAAAGTGTGTGTTTATTGGCGTACATCAGCTACGAATCATATTCGATGTTTTACGATAGTGAAATGGCTTTTAAAACACAGTTAATGACATTATGGTTTGTTTGCCTGCAGCTTTGTTATGTTCTTCATATTCCGCGAGAATATACTGCCTGAATCTTCCTGATATTTAACTTTCCTCATACAAAATTGCCACCTTAGTTGAACTGATTTGTAAAGTTGTAAAAACTGTAGTAATTTCAGGATCCTCAGGCAAAGTGAACGTAGCGTACTGTGCAAAAAAAATTATTAAACATAATTTCATTGAGACATTTCGAGTTATCAGTAAATGGAATATGCGATTTTTTACAATTCCATCTGTTTGATATGCTATTTAGAAATCAATTTTATTCGAAAAATGTCTGTTTCTCCAAGTAATCTGTTTCTGTCCAGCCGATAGTTTGTCGAATATTGTCAGGTAAAATATGATTAGCGTTTACTCAGCCAAAAGTGGAATATTATTCTGTCGTTTGATGTATTAAGTATTTGACTTTATAGGGATCAAACGTTGTTGATGGCTGTGACAATAAGAATCTCTGTACGTTACTCAGATCAGGCTTGAGCTACTAGTCACCTCTGGTTATTTTTTTCACATCTTTTTGACGGTCGAACATTGCGGATCATTATTTCATTTTTCAGAATAAACGCTTTATTGAAAGACTTGCTGGCAGTGACTAAATCTGAGCTTCTTTGAATCTATAGAAGTTAGCAGATGTCTTTCATTTTCAGTTTTTGATACTGGATTGAAGCGAAA